GCAGTGCACGTTTGTGCGGGCGTCACGTGTGCTCGGGGCGCGCGCAGCCGGCCTGCGGCCATGACTCAACTAGCATGCACTTCGCATCTCCATAACATCCAGATTTCGTGACGGCTGTCTGCGAATGTTCCTATAAAGAACTCTGCTGCCGTCTATGTGCTCAGGTAACATTTTTAATCTGAAAGTTTGCTCTGCCGCTTCAACCAAGTACTTATTCCCTCTGAAAAAACAGGCTTCGTTTGTGAAGTGGAAGCACGAAAATATCGATTTTTACCTTGGTTATCATTTCCACCGTCCAACAGCAGGCGACGCGAGCTTCGTAAGTTGGCTTCTCAGGCTCGCCTGGAGACAAACATTATTTTCCTGTTGTCATACCCCTATTTTACATAGTCAGCCCTCTGAAAGTGATCGGCGTTACTTTGGAAAGGGCCTAAAGCCCATGACTTACAATGGAAAGTCATTATATTAAACCGTCCTTCTTCGTTATTGCATTTTTATTACTTCGTTGACTCTTTACTTCTCCAGCTTTACAAAGATCCTGATTACCTGTCATGGTTGCGGGAAGATCCAGTTCTGACACACCCTTACTGACCGAAACTGTTCTCGAAATACTCCCTAGTAACTTTCCCTGATTGCTTCGATCAGGCTCTATTGTCACCACTAAGAAACTCTCATTTATAGGATAACTGACAAGAACGTTGTGCACCCCCCTAACCCTTTGGCTCTGGATCGCATTTGCCCAAGTCAAATTTTAAATTTGTTTAGCAGGAAAATTTAGCCTTATTAGTACGAGGAATTCACTGCCCTACTGTTCAAAAGGTGATTTTGGGTTTTTCTCTAAAGAAAAAGCTAGCAGGAAGTTTGAGTACTCCTTAATGTGCTACTTTTTTACATTGTAGGTCAGAAAGCAAAAGAAATATGTCGACGCCTTCCTTGAGAAACATGGATCAGAGTACCGTTCTGTTGAGGAGATCGACGGTGATAGATATTATCAGTTAAACAGTGGCTTCAGTATTGCAACGTAAGTTTCCCTAAGCGGTCAATTGTTACGTCGAAAAAAGTAGAATTTCCTACGTGAAAACAGTGCTTAATAAATATTTGCTCTCCTAGTAACTGATAGCCCAAGGATAAGTACGACGGCATACTTTTAATGCTTACTGATACTAGTTAAAAACGCAACATAAACATAGTCCTAACTCCACAAAATTGTTTCATCCAACCCTACAAAAGACGGCTGCACCGTCGACCAAGCATGGAGGTTTTTTTTATCGAGTGACCATTAACTTAGGATCATACCATGCTACTCAGCTGCTCTGCCTAACTTGCCGGACTTTCTTCCATACGGCTGGGGTTTATAGGTCTAGATGCCTGGAGAAGGAGGAGTGCGGATACTTCTTCCTGGTCGAAAGCACCGCACAATTCACGGAGCCCGAAGCTCTTGAAAAACTGGTCACTGCCAACCGTGGCATTGTTGCACCCATGATGACTCGACGCGGACTCTACTGGTCAACTTTCTGGGGCGCTATTCACGCTAACGGATCCTACGACCGCTCTGACGACTACTTCGACATTGTCGAGGGCCGAAAAAAGTAAGCATTTGACTGCCTTTCCAATTAAGCACACAGAAGAATGATACACTCTAACTGCTTGCCGAGACAGCACACTAAGGGTGACTGTGGACTCCTTATATAATTCGCTCAAAATGAGGGCACTGCTTGCTTGCCACACCTTCACTCACGCATAGATTTCGCTAGTTTATTATTGATCTAGAAAATGGTTTTTCACCAGTCAGCGAAAAATTCCATTTAAGTCCCTTCCTCGCATGGAATGACATGAAAACTTCCAATTGGGCATGACGCGGCACGATGCTCTCGGAAAACGGCTACAATTTTGATTGCAAAAATGGGGCACTTTTAGAATCTTGAATCTGAGCATGTCCCTGACTACTGCTGGGACGAAAAATATGGCATTTTTCAAACTGGACGATTATCGGAATTAATACAAATTAACGCTATCAGAAATATAGTGGCCCCATTGTAGAGTAGGTGGCGTATTTCGTGAAATATTACGCGACATTAGTAAATGCGTTTTCGATTATAAAGGGTCACCTATTTTACTATTGATTTTACTATTTTACTATCCATTATCCCATATATTTTAATCACTTCAGGATGCCGGTTTATGAATACTCTTCTTGGCGGCCGGCTGCCGAAATCTTTCTCGGTACACAATTACTACTTAAGTAGTATGGTTAGTATGGTGATTTTCGACCCTCTTATAAATTCAGATATATTTTGTAGAAAAAATACGCAAAGCAAAATGACTTTTAGATTTTAAAACAGGAGTTACAACATCCCGATAATGCTGACCTCTCTTTGCCGATGCACATGCGTTTAGCTGGTACAAAACTACAAGCTGTATACTGTCTATGTAAGGAAAATCAGATATTCCTTTATGCCATTAAACATATATCACATATGGTTCACAAATGTTTTAACCTAATGTTAACCAAGTAAGATATCCCATGTGGAAAATGCATAAGAGGACATAAAAAATACTATTTGAATCAATATTTCGCGGTCTAAAGGTGTCTTACCTAAAAACAAGTGATCCTCAAATTTACAAACTGCTTTTGCTTACTTTACAGGGGATTATGGAATGTGCCTTTAGTTGGAACGACATTTCTGGCGTCCCGATGGGCCTTGACGCAACTTAAAGGTTCAGAGAATGACGAGGACTACCTCTACGGTTCGATTGCCTCAGCGGCGGTTTCTAAGGTGTGTTCGGCCGATGCATGAGAAGGAATTTTCCTTTTCCCAGACCTTTTTAAACAGGGTGAACAAGGCATGCAAATTTGGTTCAATATTTGAATGTGAATTCAGGAGACCTGTTTAAATCGTTAACCGGACTGATCCCTTCTAGGCTCTCAATCGTTTTTTATAAAAGTTGCCCGTAAAAATATATTTAGGGTCCCGAAAAGCTTGTTTAAATAACCAAATATTGGCACGCGATAATTAAAATGGCCCAATAGTGCCTAATTGGACACAATCTTCGACTCTATATCGAATCCATATAATCTCTATATAGAGTTGAGATTGAAATGATATTGAGGTTATAAAGTGTCGATGCTTGTGTCCATTTCGGCACCATTGGGCCCTCTTATTTCTTATTGATTGTATTTCTCATTTTAATTACCGCGCGCAATCATTAGTTATTAAAATAATTATTCATATTATTATATACTTTTGTAAGTTCTACCATTTTAATTATATTTTCTTTCTCCTTATAAACCCCATTGATTTAACCCTTATTAGCACCTGTCCCACATTACAGAAGGACGGGGTTTTCGCATGCAGTTTGGTACCCTAAATGGAACTTTTACCCAGTTTCCTTATTCCAATCTCAGTAGGTGCTCAGCCATTATCGGGTACTGCCGTAATTTACTGCTGATGCATACTGTCGTATAATTCCATTGCTCAAGTTTAGTTCGGAAGCGAGAGAAAAAAACTCTAATGTAGGTAAACGTTAAAAAGTAGGAAGCTAAGAACACTCAGAGCAGCTTAAGTTGTTTAGACAAAAGAGTACTATTCGAACAATAAAAGCTGTAAGCCCAATGACGTCGACTTTATTAAATATAATAAAAAGGGTCTCAAAACTATGGATTGTCCTAAGCATGCTCCCTTTTTGTTTAAATTACATCTTCTCTACCTTCTATGGTTTTAGAATGCCTTCATGTACGTGGACAATAGAATCGACTATGGTTACCTGACAAATCCCACTACCGTCACCCTCGACCACCTGCACAATGATCTTTGGCAAATTTTCGATAACCCATTGGTATGTAAACTGCTTGTGTCGTTGCCTAAATATATCCGCCGGACGAGTAAAGGTTTCTTTAACATCCTAACAAGAATTCACTCTGCAGTAACAGCACCAGCAAAGTAATGTCTTCACGGACGTTTAAGACTGTAGGATACGAAATATTCTATCCAAGAATCTGAGATAGGAGTATCCCAACGGTTACGAACCAGTAAATAAGAACAAAGTCGTTTGCAGATAAAAGCACGTGCTTGTTCAAAGTGTTATTTAAAAGTTGTGTAAAGTTCATGCAAGGCATATTTAACCAAGTAGAACAAACAGGGCAAAAGTAGCTTATGTAGCCCCATTCATATACCCCTAATCCAAACATTTTGTCCTGCAAAAACGGTGGTTATAGAGTTTTGTGGGGTGGAGAAATA